CTGACCACTCTCTTGACTTGTGCGTCCCAATAATGCTTCCATTACAGTGAACACCATACTTCATGGATAAGTAGGGCTCGCCCTCTTAGCCTTCAGTGAATTCCTTAAATGCTGGGACTTCATGCCCATTCATTTTATCCGTGGTGTTTAGCATAGTTCTGGTATATAGAAAGTTTATTGCAAATATTGTTGAATTGATGGAGTATTTGTTTGAACCCAAAGCACATCCCATACACTATCTTGTGAGACTTATATAATTTTATTTACTACATCAAGACAAAAATCTTTAAAGAGGTACATGCAGATTTAGATTTAAAATTTTTGACATCTCCCCCCTCTCAATACAAGGGCTGGGTATGCAGCTCAATGATAGACTGTATACTTTGCAAGTATGAGGCCCTGCATTCAATATCTAGCACCTCAATATATATACATACATATACATGGACAAGAAGTGCTTATTTACAGAGAGCTCTATCACTGGACACAAGAGTCTGGGGCCCATTGCTCCAAAGGAAATGGAGTCACAAGAAATTCAGGTCGGAATTTGGAGTTGGGAGAGAGTTAGGATGATGTTCTAGAAGAAGATGACACGACTGTATTTGAGTAAATATAGATTGTTGTACACGAACAAAAGTAGATTGTTGAGAAAATAAGACATCCCCTGAAAATAAGCCCTATTATATCTTTTGGAATATAAATTCATATAAGACCCAGTCTTATTTTGAGGGAAATATGATATTTACTTTATGGTGAGAATACAGATAATTCACAATTGAACTGCAATTGATAAGAATTAAGCATCTCTAAAGATTTAATTTGAAAGTAAGAATACAGGGCCAGGGATATAGCTCAGTGGCACAGCATCTGCCTGGCAAGTGCAAGGTTCTGAGTTCGATTTTCAGCACCAAAAGTAAAAAAAAATTTAAAAAAATAAAAGCAAGAACACAGCAATGGAGAACCACGACCAACTCAGAGAAACACACACAGCCCATGGTAACAAAGCATCCCCCCACCACCAAAGGATCAGGAGGTGTGCACAGGTAGTGTGGCAAGTACTCTATGGCACCAGCCGGCCTTCTCCACGACTAGCAGCCAAATACAATTCCTGATTGATACGCTCTGCCCTTACCTCACATCAAATACATCTCCAACACTCCCACCCACCCTCGAACCTCAGCTTGAGGGATAACTATTGAGAAAGCCTTTCCTGGCTTTGTGGTCTAGTTTACACTCACCTGCAGGGGGCTTTGTTCCTTTTCTTTGAAGAGGTTTCCAGTTCGCATCCACATTCTCTGTGCAGTTGTTTTATCAACACTTGCCTCCCCACAGCTCCCTACACACCGCACCGGGGAGGAAGGGGCATTGCCTGGTTTTATTCACTATTTTGTTCCCAGCAACTGGCACAAAAATAGGCATTCTATACATATTTTTAGTGAATGATGATCTTTTTCACCTCTTACCCATTCATCGCCCTGTCCACTTAAGAATTATACACAACTCAAAGTATGTCATAAACAAAATTCTTTTAAGATCATGATACACAGTATATTAACCACTGCTATTCTCTATTTTATTATGAAATTTTGTTTTTTTCATAGAAACGTGTTTTCTTTATGTATAAGAACACATTTCT